CCTGACAAGGAGCTTCCCCACCAATGACAAGGTCTTGCATCTCCTACATTCTACATTCTACAAGTACAGACTATCTAAAGTAAATACCTATATATTTTTGATTTCAGGGCAGTTCATGTATTTTCAATATGTTTTTTTAAGAATGGTAATTTTTTTTAAGATCACCTGATCAGGTTAGAGCTTGAAAATGGAAATGTACCCAGAGAAAAACCAGCAAGAACGACGAGGATCCCTTTGCCAAAATTCAGAGAAGGGAAGAAAATGAGCCCTCGGAGGTTATACTGCAGAAGGCATTACAACAATAGCAACATAGCCAAGTCTTCACTGGCTATTTGTTTTCCATAAATTTTAGCTGAAAATATTTTCTTTGTTTTTTCTTCAAACAATCGCACTTAACAATTAGAATAAATAAACAAATAATTCCGGTAAACAAATATCTAGCAACACCTTGGCAACACAAAGCACAGATTACTAAATATATTATTATTATATTATTAATATATTATTAATATATTATTGCTCACCAAAATTACTAAACATTTGTGACAAACAAAAAGTTCTTTACAATACATACTTAATGACATAAAAGATGACTTGATCATAGAAAATTTTCATTGTAGAGTATCTTATAATTTTTAGGGCGCTTATCTGCATGATTTTGAAATAACGATAGTTAAGGTTATAGTTAATTTAGGAGTAGTATATTTCGAATCCAGAAACATGATTATAAGTTTTTTTTCGCGAATTTTTTTTTTGAAAATTTGTAATTTTTTGAAAAATTGGATTTTTTTTAGTTTTTAGTTAAAAAGCATAATTTCTTAATAATATGGCAACATAGGTAGTAGCTTAAATTTACAAGAAGGAAAACCCAGAGAAGTTCAAGTGATTCTCAAAATTTAAACAAAAAATATTTTTTTTGGAAATTTTCAAAGTAAAATAACTCGGTTATTTTGGACTTATTTGAATAAAGACGGTAAAGAGAAAATATATGTTTCTTTTATCGACGCATCTACCAGCCGTGGCAACGGTCCAACTACGTCGAAACATCGGTTCCCATTAGAAGTTAAGCGACCACCGAAGCTAAGCGACGTAAGGCGATACTAGTGGATGGACGGGTGACCAGTTCGAAACTCTGTATCGTGCTGTTATCCAAAAAAATAATATATAGGCATAAGTGTAAAATCTATTGACACACTGCTCATTCACGCCGGTTCAAGGCCGGATGAGATCGGATATCTCGTGAGTAAGAGTCGACTTAGACACTTGCCAAGTCGGTAGACCATTGACCATGATATGGCCGAGGACCGCGGTTCGGATTCCGCGTAAACAAAGTCCAGATTAGCCCTGACAGCAAAAAGGAGACGTTAACAGAAATCTTTACTTTACTTCTACCAGCCCTGAAAATATATTTTATGTTATAAATATATTTGCACCTATTCAAGACTCATCCTCTATATTTTTATTATATTTTAAGTTAATCATCAGTCAGAGGATTGACAATGCGTCTAATTCTAATAATAACAATTTTTAGTTTTTTTTTGTTTTTTTTTCCGACAACGGAAAGAGATAAACTTTCTAGGTGGTATTAATAAAAATTGAGTACATGCTCATAGCAGGTGCTCAACAAAATTCGGAGTAGATGCTAAAAAAATAAGCACATAATTATTTTTGGTATTAATAAGTTTTCTATACCGAAATTGAGCAGCTGCTTCGTCTTTTAAGTACCTGCTCCGAATCACAGTTGACCGCGTATTGGTTTTAGAATAATAAAGTAGTAAAATGGTATGAATCTGTTGCTAAACGGATGCAACGTGTTTATTACAATACACTATTATATCATTTATCATCTTCCTATTGTCTCAAATCATGAATTCTTCATGCTATTGCGTCTCTTTTTAGCTATCCTCTCTGCCTTCACCAGAATCTACAAGCTGGAAAGCATCATCCTCATTATTGTCGATATCTTCCAAAATCGTGAAATCTTCGTCGTGAAGGTATTTTGCAACATTATGCAAAATAAAGCAGCTCAATACAAGAGATGGAATTTTTTCTGTTTTCACACGGATTCTGTGGTGCAGTATAGGAAAACGTTGCTTCAGTTGGCCAAAACAACTTTCTATTATAACACGTTCTCTGGTCAAACATCTGTTGTAGGAATTTTGCTCAGGAGTGACATAAGCCATGGAGTAAGTCCATAACCAGAGTTTCCAAGGAGGAGTGCATTATGCGTATTTTGCTGCATAATGTTCGTCGCGATACTTCAATACGCGAGTCATGAACAGACCCCGGCCAAGATGCATCGACACTTGTAAACTCCTCTCGAGCATTGCACGTTACCTGTACATTGAGACCATATTCATCCCCATGTACGATTGGTTTAAGGATGGGGATATGCGTGCAATCGATGGCACCTATAGCAAAAGGAAAGTTGTATTTATCTTGCCATTTATCATTGTCTCCCTGCAATTGTTCTGCAGTTCACGGAAACCTTATCCATACACTTGACTTTCTTACTATAGCGTCACTTACTGTTGCAACTGTTAAAGATACTGTTGTTTGGTGTACTCCTATATCTTCAGCAACACCTCTTTGGAATCCCGGGTTACCCACGTAACGAAGACAAATTTTCATTTTTTCAGTTGCCCTTAAAGCACCACCTCTACTTTCAAATTCGTCTCTGAAGAAATGCTCAGCCAACCATTCCACGCTATTTCTGTTAAATCTATACAAAACCCGATAATCAACATCTCGACATCAGTCTCTTCTAAATTTATAATATTTTCGTGCACGAGCAATAGGCATAAATTGGGGATTGAGAAAATGGCGTCGACCGAGTAGCACGCGCCAAGCTGGCTACTGAGCGAAATATAGATATATAGTGATTTAAAGAGTTCAAATAGTATTTAAAAGTGTGTCAATTGAGTTGGAAGATGAAGAGAAATACAAGGAATAATAACCCAAAATGTATTTCGAACTCTAGTACAAGTTCTACGAATTTGGAATTGGCAGCTATAAGGTAACAAACCTTGAAAAGCATGTACAAAATAGCATTCAGGATCTAAAAAGTGTTATTACCAGTCCCAGAACCACTGATGTAGAAGATAGAAATATATTAAGTAGGCTCAACTTGTTCCAAACTGAGATGGAAATGGCCATAAAAACGATTAAGGATGAAATTACTGAAATGCTTAACCGAACACTTAAATTAGATCAAAATATGGAAGATGGTAAAAAACACTGTTATGCAAATTGTTTGGTAATTTCTGGAATACCAGAAAACAACGAAGAAAACAGAAATATTCGATTTGAGCAAAAAATTGTCGAATGTTTAGAAACCAAATCAAAAACTACGAACTTAATTTTATTCATATCACCCTCTGAAACGTTAAGCATTTTTTTGTTCGTTAGGCAAATTTGTATATCTTTAAACCTAACTTCTGACAAGTACCTAGTTTCCGTTTGGGATTAACGCAGAAGTTTTTACATAAAATAACTATTTTATTTTGTAGATTATCTTGCAGTGGCGAAATACCCATATAGGATTTTTTGGAGAGATGAATCCGCCACATAGGTATATAGACAAAGCCCTCCATAGTATAGATATTTTTTAGTTTGTGGTTGCAAAATGATTGCAAATATTTTTCATACCCATACCTGCAGGACAAATAGCAGTCCATATTTCTGCAAATAACACAAGAGAAAAAAATAATCATCTTTGATATATGATGACATGGAAACATGAAGAAACTTTTACTTCTTCTATTGTTCTGGCAAAGTTGTCCTAATAAACTTATACATTCCACTTATTCCAAGAAAAAAATAATTTTAAACCAAAGATATTTAAACTCGGTTTGGTTTTTTAAATATCTTTGTTTTAAACACACTATAAACTGTGCTATAATGTTCGCTATAATGTATGTTAAACTCATGTTAAACTGGACCTGCTGTATTGCTCCGCCAAGTTCCTTATTGGTTAATCAAACGTCACATGGACGTATTTAAACGTAGCGTTAAAAATCAATTTGAAATAAATGAATCTTGCAATTATTGGAAATTATTAGAAAATATTTACAAGAAAAATGTCAATCAATTGGCAGAAAATGTAAAAAACAATTTCAGCAAAATGGAGCAAGAAAATTCTTCAATGTATTGCATATTTTCGTATAATTATGATCTTTTGTAAGGTCTACTGACCTAAAAACATTGAGTTTATGAATGTTTCCTTGTTCCTTTATTTCTTTCAGGTCACGATTTATTTTACTGCTTAATAATGTAATAAATCCATCTATTGTTTTAAGTCATATTTCATGATTATATATGCTTATACTAATTTTAAATTGCCCAACAAGTCTTAATTTTAAAGAAACGCTTCATTGCATTTACAAAGAGTATTCCTATCAAAATGGTGAAGGTACATTAATAAAAAGCTTGAACCATTCTTAAAACAAATCCAATCATGTGGAACATGATTGAATACACTCGAATATAATACCGTATGATCGAATAAAAACGGTGTCAGCGATGGCCATGAAATGACGATCGATGACATTTCCCATATAATTTTACATATAAAATGACAGCGATCTTCATTTCATAGCCATCGCTGACGCCGTTTTTATTCGATCATACGGTATTACTTCTTAATCAAATCTGTCTATGAAACTGCATGCATTTTTGAATAACTGCAGTTATTCAAAAAAAAATCTTTAAAATAGTTCTATTTAAGGTGTACTATTAAGATATCTTCATTCTAAAACAGAGATTCTTTTCTTACAGTATAATAGTAAAATCCTTTTTACATAATCTAGTGTGGGAAAATTATTACATTACTATATTGCAGTTTATTCCCACACTTGCAACAATATGAAATGCGCTGACATTTTTGTTTCACAAAAGTTATAAAATATTCTTTTGCCATGTTATACATAATTACTCTTTAATAAATAAAATATTTGATTATATAAAAATTAAATTATAATTTATTGCTTTTATTTCTTTATAAAATCCACGACTTAAATTAATATACCTACAATATTTCAATAATTTATAAATATAAACATGTTGTTTTCAATAAAATATTTAGTAAAACCTACTAAAAAATCAAAGCCAATCAATAATACTAATATAATAGACTTAATTAAAGCTTCTAAAAGAACAAAAAGTATGTCTTATAATTGTTGATTAACATTATATACTTGTGGTATATTCACTACTTGTGGCATCTGCATCTGTATTATATGTTGACCAGATACATTTGATATATTTGGATCTGAGACAGGAATAACTTCCTCGATAATTGTCTGTGTTGTTGAGTCATATAATAATTGTTGAACATAATAAACTCTATTATCATTATGCTGAACTGGAGGCTGATTAATAATAACTTGCGGTAAACTATTTCTTATCTCATATTTGGGATCTAAAGTATTAATTTCCTGTGGTAACTGTTCATATTGTACATTTTGAGATACTTGAGCTAAAAACCAAACCAAACTAATTGCTATAGTAAAAGCATAAAAATCTATAGATTTTACCTGTATCACAAGGCTGCTCACTAGGCTGTTGATCCATAGTATCTATTCTTTGTTTTTTTAGTGTCTCTTCTGCTCTTTCCGCAGCTTTTTGAGAAGTTGCAGCAGCTTGTTTGACCATCTTAGCCACTAACTGAGGAAGTTTGTCATTAGAGGATGGTATTACCTGTTTTGGTGCTTCAGACAAAGGTTTACAGTGATGAACAAAAAATGCAAAATCTTTGACTGTATCGACTGGATGCAAGTGTTGGGAATTAATCTAAAAAGTCCATAGTCATTACATAAAATCATTAAGTCGTTACAAGAGAAGTAATACTCTTATAAGTGCATTTAATCCAAGTCTTGTAAACTTGTTTTTCTTCTTTGAATAGGTGTTGTCTCCAAAAAATTTTACATCTAATGTAGCTCTACATTTCCTAGCATCAAATAACAATTCGTTCTTAACTGGCATTTTATCATATGTCCAGCATTGATATTGCTTGCGAAATTTCACTTTAGGCCCTGTGTTTGATATTTTATGTACCCAAACAGTATTTGTAACTCGAGAAAACTTCTCAACCCATTCATCACAATGTGAATTATAATCCTCCGATTCTACACGGATTTGAGTTCTCAATTTTATTTCAAACGACTTATTCTGGCTCCATTTACAATCCGTTATATCAAATTTTGAATTCAAATTTTTCATAATATCACTAAAATCACTTTTCGCTTTATCTTCAGCCATTTTCCAACCTATGAAATTGGAATTAAATATCGACCAACAACTGATGTTTGACAATTTTCCTATCATTCGAAAATCATCTTTATGTACACGTTAATTAAGGTCTTTCATTTATACAGTTTCAAAACTGTCATTTTAGAACGTATGTGTTTTCACTAGTCATATAAACGTAATGAGTGTGTTTACTACCTATCCTATATTTTCTCTAAATTTAATTATCTCCATTCAGTAAGTAGTGGGTACAGTTAAATTTTAAAGTGTTTTACTTTACATCAGAAACAAACACAGATAAATGACTAATATTTAAAAAAGAAGACACCAAATTTTATTGCTTTTAAAATAGAATTGACTTCTTAGATATCTTTCAAAATACTAGATGCGTAATAAACGTAGGCAAGGCACGATATGAATCTAGTTAGAAAGTACGTTATAAAATAAAAAAAGAAAATTGCATAAGAATCTGTCAATGTAGAGTAAGGTTATATTTCTTAAATTTTCAATTTATCAAATGAAAATTCCCAGTTTTTTAAAAAGTATTCTTTTTGGTGTTCCCATCGGAATTACTGTAGTTGATTCTGTTGGCTATGTTGCCAGAGTAGATGGTATTTCTATGCAACCTGCTTTAAATCCAGATCGCAACACTACAGATTATGTTTTTTTAAACAGACTTGCTGTAAAATCTTTCGAAGTACAAAGAGGCGATATAGTTTCATTGATATCCCCAAAGGACCCAAGTCAAAAGATAATTAAAAGAGTAGTTGGCATTCAAGGTAGTTTAATTGAACCTAGTTATCCAAGTTTTCATTAACCAACACAGGCTTCCATCGTAGGAGATATAATTGTAACTCTAGGATATAAAGACCATGTTATACGAGTTCCAGAAGGACACTGTTGGATAGAAGGTGATCACACAGGACATTCTATGGACTCTAATAATTTTGGGCCTGTATCATTAGGACTTGTTACTGCCAAAGCCTCTTGTATAGTGTGGCCTCCATCTAGGTGGCAAATTATACCCACCTTTTTACCTGACTCAAGAAAACCTTTAAATTTAAGATCTATAGTGAGTAATTGGTAGCACATATTGTTTTTGAATTAAATTGTAAGTTGATTTTATTCAGTGTTACTAAAAATTAATTATATCTCTATTTGCAGCATACCATAGTCAAACCAGAGGATATACTTGAAGATGAGGGCCATATCGTTAGTTAAAAGGATAGAATTTGAATTTACAGGTAATGTTGCTCGTAACGCTTTAACTTTAGGTGATGTGGATAATGATGGCGCTTCCGAACTTATAATTGGGAATGATCTGGGAGAAGTGGCTATATTTAAGGTTAATTCTTGTAGTGATATCAATGAAATACATGTTTATACATTTCTAATTATTTTAGTCAAGAGAGAAAATACAAACTATTACAAATTTAAGTTTTATAACCTGCATTGCTGTAGGAGATGTAAGAAATGAAAATAAAAATAGTTTGGTAATTGTGACAGCAGATGGTTGGTGTTACATTTACGAGACTCCTATACAGAAAAAAGATAATAGTTTTAACAGTGACAATGTCGATGATGAGTTGAAAATAGATTTAGATGAGGTAACTATACCTATCTAAATTTGTTAATGAATTGATGAGTATATTTTACAAATTAGTTAGATGGTCAAATTCAGTCTTCATCTAATGCAGCAACTAGTACAAGTAACACTGAGACTCATAGTAGTAGTGAGTCAACAGGGACTGAGAAACTAAAAAGTACTATTAGCAAAGACTCTAAACTTTTATTAACATGTGTTCATACCCAAAGAATTCCTGCAAATGTAAAAGTAAATAATTTATTTATTGTATATCTAATTTGTTTTTATTTTATGAAGTATTTTCTTTAGAATATAATACTTGGTGATGTAGATGGAGATGGCCTTATTGAAATGGTATTAGGATTGACAGATCGAGTTGTCAGATCCTATAGATGGTGTAGTGAACCTGATAAGTCTGTTAGCTTTTTGGAGGAGACCACACTGACTGAAGATAAATTATTAGGTAAGATATTTTAATCGCTTAAAAAATACATTATCAGAGATAAAGTCGCATGATAGGAACTTTTTTTATTTATTGACTTGGGCTATAGTTTCTGCTTTGATTTAGATTAAAAATGACATAAGGGAATTTACGCTGTTGTCCTCGAGTAATAAATGGCCAACAAGGTGCCAAAAACTGTTGGTTGTGTAGCGTGCTTGAGAAATTTCGTGATCCAGAGGGAAAAGGAAAATTTTAACCTGAAACATCATATTCGTGGGAAAGTGAGAAAATTCAAACTAGCATTACCCCAACTAAATACACATTTTCGGTGGCATCAGACGGTATTCTTGTACCCCCTCCCCTCGAATAGATGGTGAATTTTAAATAAGTGCAAATATATTTCTAGGGATGGTATTATGGTATACCGGGTTCGTCTCAAAAGTGGCTCACCCCTATATTATTTATTTTCTTAGATAAAAAACGAGATTTGTTACGTTAGTATATGACATAAATTAAGATTGATTGACGTATTCAATTGTTTTTGGTCACTTCCTGTTTCACCGGAAATGACTACAACTTTTGATTTTTAAATTGCACCATTGGTATTTTCTTACTTTATTCGATATAAAATGACATTCTGAATAGAATGACATATCACATGTCAACTTTTGACATTCTCGCTTAATAAAAAATCTTAATTTAATTTTCAATCTAGAGTACCATGGCTAAGTTAAAAACACCAATTCTTAATCAAGAAGCCTTGGAAAAATAGATTTGATCATCTAATGTTTTTAGTGTCTTGTCCTGGCCGGTTAAAAAATACTCAAATCGCAGTTTTAATCATATCTCAATTTTTTTCAAATGGAACGAGGGTGGCTCATTAGCATATTTGGAAAAAGCATTTTTTTACGAATAATTGATACCACTTGGTATTTTGAGTCAAATTTTTGTTACGAACCACAAGTTATAATTTCAAATAAACTATATGCAAAAATGTCAAAAGTTGACATAGGATATGTCATTCTATTCCTCGTTCTATTCTGAGTGTTATTTTTTATCGAATAAAGTAAAAAAATATCTAGTGCCATTTAAAAATCAAAAGTTGTAGTCATTTCCGGTGAAACAGGAAGTGACTGAAAACAATTGAATACGTCAATCAATCCTAATTTGTCATATACTACCATACCAAATCTCGTTTTTTTAACAAAAAAAATTAAAAAGTTATAGGGGTGCGCCACTTTTGAGACGCACCCGGTATGGGGTGAATCTTAAATGAGTGCAAATATTTTCAGGGCTGGCAGATCTCGATAAAAGAAACATATTTTCTCTTCACCATTTTTAAAATAAGTCCAAAATAACCCAGTTATTGTACTTTGAAAATTTCCCCACAAAAAAATGATTTTTTGATTAAATTTTAAGAACCACTGGATCTTTTTTGGGTTTTCTTTCTTGTAAATTTAATCTACTTCCTATGTTACCATATTATCAAGAAATTATGGTTTTAACTAAAAACAAAAAAAATATAATTTTTTTTCGCGAAAAAACTCATAATTGTGTTTCTGGAGATGAAATATACTACCCCTAAAAATATTTGCACTTATTTAAGACCCACCCTGTATATCGATCCCAGGAACACGCCTAAAGTTAAAAAAAAATTTTTTTATGAAAAAAAAAGTTTAATTTAAAAAAAAAGTGTATTTCGAAATTTGGAAAATTTTTATAATTAAAAAACATAATATTTTTAGAGAAAACGGGAAATGTTTACCGTCTTCGTGGGAAATTATATTTCAAAAAGTTAGCAACACTGTCTGTGACTATTATTAATCTTCTATTTTTTTTAGGAAAATTTATAGCTTTAAATAAGTGGGAATGTGCCAATCAAATAGGATCAATAACTTTGCATCACACGTGGTGTGGAACCCCTTCAATCTTAGTTGCTCAACCCGGAGGTACCTTTATGAGGATTAAATGTTTTGCCACGGAAGAGCAAGACTCCGACAACAAACTTAGCAAAAGTGATAGGTAAATTTTTTTTAATGTTTTTTCCTTAGTTTATATTTAGTTTTCTAGTTCCATTGGTGAATCATTTCCAGGATCAATAGATTATCAATCGCTAGGTATTTCAAGAATGAGAAATCAGAATATTTCAACTGAAATTCTTGGCGATCTCAGGTGTTCAAATGTAGCCGCTGATAATTTGAATATAGAAAATTCAGGCGATTCTGGTAAAATTATAACTAAAGGTAGGCCGTATGCTGTGGCTACTTTAGATGGAACCATTATGTTAGTACAGGATGAAATAATTTTATGGTGAGTAATTTTGATATTGACTTCAAAAATATGAAACAAGGAAAAAAACAGCACAAACAACGCCACATTGTGTACATTTTTCTTAATCAGAAAACAGTCTTTAACAGCCACTTTATAATAATTTAATAATATAGTTATATACTTGCTTTTCTTTTAAACACCACATTTAAGTAAATTAAAAATAAATACTAGTTATTTAAAAAATAACAATTGGTAGTTGTTGACATTATGGTGAAGGATTTTTATTCTGGTATATTAAATAATAAAATTATGAATTTCATTTATATTTTGAATTGATCCAAGAAGTTGAATATTTTTTCTTCAAATAAAGCTTCTCTACGAAGTTCATTATTAGACTATATTGTATTGATCAAAAACACTAATAAGGAGTGTTTTAAACTGTGATAGATATCTAATCATAGTTTTCCATGTTTTACTCTTTTTTATCAAAATTGTTCTGGATTCAAATAAGACAAGCAAAATTTAGATCATGAAAAAAAGTTAAATTCGTGTTGAAATATGTAAATTACCTCAGAAGTATGTTACACACAACAAAAAAAAAAATTGAAAGTTAGGAAAAAACAAAGTTTTGAAATGGTCTCATTATGAATGGTTGTGATATTTTTATAAGTAAAATTAAAATAAAGAACAATTTTTAAATAACAGTAAAACTTACCTAAATTGGATTGCGATGAAAATATCTATTGTACTTTAAAGCAAATTAAAACTTGACCCGGAAACTTATACGTATAGTGTGAGTCAAAATTACTATTGAACATTGGTAGCATTTAAAAGCAAGTTACTCTTTTATTTTAAATGGAACGCCCAGTAATTATTCCGATATTCAAGGTTGAATATCGGAATATCTCAAAATACTATTAAGGTTGCCTACCCCTCAATTAAATACTTTCTACACTTCTAACTTGGTACACATAAAAACTCTACGTCATAAAACATTTTGCGTGCACCGAAGTTTCATATTTAGTACACGTTAACGTGCACCTAGACACAGCGTTTGAAAAATGATAGGTATCTTGATCAAGTATTAACAAAATATTTGCGTTTTTAGGGCTATTGCAGTAGATCATCAAGTTTTCGCTCTGACTAAACTAGATATAACAGGAAATGGTTCTGACGATATAATCGTATGCTCATGGGATGGACAGACTTATATTTTAGACCAAAATAAGAACTCTGTTCGTTTTCACTTAGAGGAACCAGTCAGAGCATTTCACAGTGGTTGGTACAACTTAAACGAAAACGAACCACCTGTTACAGCCTTAGTTTATGTTACTTTTAAAAACACTGTCAGTATTTTTATAACTATTTTTAGTTTCTTATTTATTGTCATTATAACTGTTTTAAGGTTATTATTTACTATGATATACCGCTCAGAGATTTAATATGTACAAAATTTGAACCCGACCTTGAAAAACTAAGTGAGTTGTTCATTAGCAAAGATAGAAATCAGGAAGAAGCATTAGAATATGTTAAAAATATGGACAAGAAAACTAGAAGAGACCTCATTGAATACTTGCTTTATAATGTTAGATGCTAAGTCAATAAAACTGTATATTTTTTTTATGATTTTATATGGAGTTTTGAAGTATACAGGGTTTACAATCATACTTTTTTGTTTTAGTCTTACAGGAAAATAGGAAATACAATTGTAATATTGTTTGATTTGTAGTAAATGACAATATACAGTTATATTTTTGTAATTTAAGGGTGTTTTTTACATGACAACTGTAATTAATTGTTGAATAAATAATTTGAGTAACGTTTGTTGTATTATTTTTTTACTTTTAAAGAATCAAAGCCTTTTAAGAAATACTTACCTAGTGGCTACAGAAAACGTTTACTACTTGTTTTATATTATCCTGAAAAATCTATAAAGAGACAAAATACTATAATAAATATATATGGTTTACTTTCTATTGCAGGTTTTTTTTGAACCTACATATTATTTTTATCTGAGATTTGGTTTCTTAAAAGAAATTTACCACCAGACACATTCATAAACTTATAATTATAGGTATACGTTTTCATCACATTAAATAATGCCTTTTTTGCGAGGTTGTATGAAGCTTTAATGTAAGGTTGGCTTAAAGCTTTTCTTATTTTTTGTAGTAAAAGATTTAGTTTTTTTCCAATAGTTTTTAATGCTCTGAGATCTGTGTGTTGCTAAAAATGTTTTTACTTCTAGAACTGAATGTATCACACGCCAATTTTCTGTGATTGTTTATTTCTTATGGAGTTATTGGGGGTTTACATGGTAATTAGTAATTATTTTACTACTGAATAATAGTATAATGGATAAGTAGGTAGGTATCTCTCTATTTTTTTTTTTTTTTTTTTTTTTGAGGAGAGGGAAAATCTTTTAAAGACATCTGTCGGATGTTCATGACAGATAGTGTGGGATTTCCACCCACTAAAAGACCTCATCCTTTTCTTCACTATATGTTGGCACTACCGGTAAGTATTACCAAAGAATATCTTTGGTATTACTTCAGCATGCAGCGCTGTCTTCTATTTAATCCTTCTGTCTTCTCTACAGGTCTGCCTCTTTTGTTTCTAATATCTTTTTTGCCATATCGGATACAGAATTCCATACAACTCTTGATTCCAAACCAAAAACATTTGTTCTATTATATTGTTCGGGTCTAATTTCAGTCGCACTTCGTACTCCAGTTTCCTTCGCTCTCCTATCCAACGGGGACACGAGAAAAAAGTATGCTCTACATCATCTTGTGTGTTTTCGCAATAGTGACAGCTTGGTGATTCTCCTATTTTAAACCTATAGTGGTATGACATGAAACAGCCATGGCCGCTTATCAGTTGTATTATGAAGAAATTCAGGTTACCGTGCCTTCTATTAACCCAAGGTCGTATATCTGGGATCAGTCTTCTTGTCCAAGTTCCAACACTACTCGTTTCCATCCATCTTTCTTGTCAAAAATCTAGGGTGCGATGTTTTTCTAATATTTTTACTGTTCGCTCAGCTTTATATGTGCGACTCCCCTCCCCTGCCTGTAGATCTATAGGTACCACGCCTGCAATCACTAGTAGACTCTCTGTAGACACCGTACGAAAAGCACAACATATTCTTATAGCCAGCTTCCTTTGTATTTTCGTAAACATATTTTTGTATTTTTTTACCTTTAGGACTTCATGCAATATTGGTGCTGCGTATAACATAATTGAATGTGTTACCGCACTTAGCATTTGTCGTTTCACTGATGATGGTCCATTTAGATTCGGCATTAACCAACATAAAGCCTTCGCAGATTTTTCAGCTTTTACGCATGTGTTGATTATGTGTTTCTTCATTAAAGCCCCTTGATCAATAAACACTCCCAGGTATTTTATTTCCGGCTTTGTAAATATTTCGGTTTCAAGGACGTTAATGGAAATCTGACGCATTACTCTTTTATTAGACAATATTACCGCCTCTGTTTTTTCTGGTGCTATTTTTAGTTTTAAATTCCTCATACATTTTACAATCCTATGTATAGCAGTATTTGCTGTCGTTACTATAACTGCCTCTGAGTCTGCGGTTACCAAAATTGCACCTCGTCATAATAGATGTTCCATAACAATGGTCCGAGGACAGAGCCATGCGGTACTCCACACGATATATCCATTGTGTTATTTTGACATACCTATATGCAGTTCCCTCTCAGTGAAGTAGCTAGTTATCATTCAGATTAGATACGGTGAAATGTTCTTTTTTTAAGAGCTTTTACAATGCCTTCCCATTGCGCCGAATTAAATGCTTTTTAACATCTATAGTTACAAGAAGACATTGTTTTCTATTTTGGGGTGCAAAAGCCTTGGCTCTTTTGGCTTCTTGTAACACACTCGATATAGCGTCAATTGTCGAAGATCCTTTTGTAAACCCGTACTGGGTCTTAGCTAGTCCCCCTTTTTGGTTTAGCTCCTCATTTATGCGATCTTTTAATAAATGCTCTAATAGTTTCCCCATGCAGTCAAGTAGGCAAAGCGGTCTAAAACTCGGAGCTTGCTGTTCTGATTTACTCGGCTTCTCTAAGAGTACTAGTCTGGCTCTTTTCCAAACACTAGGAAACTCCCCGATAAGCAATTGTTGGTTCATTAACAATAAGCAATCGCCTTGAAAATTTTCTGCTATATAACGTATCAGCTCCGGTGGTATCTGATCAGGCCCAGGTGCTTTTCCGGTTTTTATTCTCATGGCCGCATTTTTGATTTCTTCTTTAGTAAACATTGGTATGTCTTGTTGTTGGATAGATATGTTTTCCCAGTTTGGTTTCTCTGATTTTGGAAATAATTTATGGGCTTCCTCTATTCTGATTTTTTCAGAGAGATGCATAGGTGGTCTTAGTTTGAATGATTTTGCTACTATTTTATAACCAGTTCCCCATATATCGTTTTCAACTTCTTCCAGCACTTTTATCCATGCACTTTTCTTCGCCTTCTCTATAGCCTTTTTAAGTTCAGATCTTTTTTCTTTATACTGATCTTTTGTTGTAGCTTATTTTTACGTGTAAAATGTCTCCTCTTTAATTGGCATTCCTTTCTAATATTCGCGATTTCCGCTGACCACCAGTATACGGGTTTTCTTTTATCATTCCTTATCCTAATTGTTTTGAAAGTTTATCACAGGCTGTTCTGATAAGATTCATAAAGGTGTAACGTGAAATATTTGAGTCTTGTCTGGTAATGTATTGTTTTAACTTTTCCGCGAATATTTCCATTTTTTCGTCTTGTACTTTCCATCCGCCATGAATGCTGGTAGAACATTTATTTGTGTGAGCCTTGAAATAACCATTATCACTCTTGACATCTTAAGGAAGATATAATCATTAAGGAAGATATAATTGTGATCGGAGAGACTTTCTTCATCCGATGTTACCCAGCTTATATTTCGTGTTGCCAATATACTACTTGCAAAAGTGATATCGATATAAGACTCTGTCGTGCCTCTCCTAAAAGTAGGAGTTTCTCCTTCATTCAAAACTATTAGATCTAGTTCGGCGGACCATTCTGACAAAATATCCCCTCGGTTGTCGTTCACTGGTGATCCCCACATTATAGATTTTGAGTTAAAATCACCTCCCACTAGGCATGGTTTATTATGGGATACTATACTCTGTTTAAGTTTACACAGGAATTGGTTAAAAATCTCCATACTTTTTTACATTTGGAGAAATATAACAACTATAGATAATCATCTCTGGAAATTCTACCCATACGAAACCATTTCCTTGTCCACTCTTCTCAACTATTTCCTTTGTATTTATGACACATATTGCTGCATCTGTGTTATCGTCTCTGTACCAGTTATTATTTTTTTTAACGATGTTCTTATTTGGTTCACTCAATATTAGTATGTCTACTTTTGCGTTGATTATGACTTGTGACATCAAGTGGTGAGCCACATATCTTCTACCTAGGTTTATTTGTAATATTTTTACTATTTTTGATGATTTGGTTGGAGTTCTCTACTAACTGCTCTTCGGTATACCGGACATTTCATTGTTAATGCTTTATGCCCTGCTTTATTACATACTGGACAGTGAGATGTGTTTTTGCACTCTTTAAATTGGTGATTTACTTCGCCGCAGTTTCGACATAAGTCCGTTGGGTCTGTTCCCATACAATCTCTCGCTTGGTGACCAGTAGACCAACATTTATAACATGTTGCTATTTTAATTCTCTCGTGTATTCTGCAATTAGTTAGTCCAATCCTAATTCTTCGTTCCGCCAAAAGTTTGTCTGCAGCTTCTCTTGTAACAAGTATTGTAGCAGCCTGTGTCTCTCTATAAGAAGGTCTGATTCAACTAATTCGTAATTCCCCGTCTGACCCTATATGTTTTTTCATCGTAGCTGCAATTTCTTCTCTAGTGGTAATGGCATCCAGGTCTTTTATGTGAATTACTGTACTTGGCCTTTGTTTAGAAATTAATTTGATGGAACCCTCTCCGTTAATTCCCCTTAATGCTTCAGCCATTTCTCCGACATTTCCTCTTTCCTGGTCCATTGTGAGAAGAAGGTCACCTGATTTTGTCATCCTGACACTATTGATATTTGTATCTAAATTTTTCTTATTAACTTCAATTTTAACGTCTTTTAGTAAATCTGCATATGTTTTATTTCCTTTTTGTATTATGAGTGCATCCGTAAGATGATTTGCTGATGGTCTAATTTGTCTTTTCCTTTGTTCCCCTTGTTTGGAATTCTGTCCTCCTTGTTTTTCTGGAACGTATATAGTTATATCTATCTCACTATCTCTCAAAGCACATTCTAAAATCTTTCGACTTTTTGTTTGATCACTTATTGCTTGGAAAATGCATGCCAGCTGACTTTTCCCTTTATTTTTTAACATTTCTTTAAGCTTATTGGCCAGCTCGGAATAGTTCCAGGAATTCATCATCTTCACCTCTTGTTGAGACTTTTGCTTTTTCTAACCTAATTAAGTATGTCGATCTTTCTGTGTTCTTAAAAACAGTATTTTGTTGCAGTAATACCCTACTACTATTTTCTATGTAGACGATTTCCTCTGTCTCTAGTATTTTGTGTTCCAATATGTCCTTCATTTGTACAACTCGTTCACTTAATCTACGCATAAGTGTCGTATTCTCTATTAAATTTGGATCAATAACAACGGCAATTTCTTTCTCATCCAATACTGTCTGTAAATTGCCCGTTTTTACCGACGTCCTGATAAACGCGTTGTCCTCCCATTCTATGTTTAACAATTCTTTAAAATTTTCTGGATCAATATTTCTTGCACGT